GTTGCATTGTTTCTTCTTCTTTTTTTATACCAAAAAGTACACTATTAGAAGGGGACAAAACTAAGGACATTTTTATCTTCTTACCCTCTATCTATTAAGCCCTTTTTTTTTTTGGCCTAAATATGTGAATAATGTTAACTTTTTTATTTTTTTAATTACTTTTTGACTTTTTATCTTTTTTTAGGGGATGCCAAACATTTACTTTATTTTAGTTTATCATATACATGTACTTTTAGTATTAAGGGTTGGTTTGGGGTATATTATATAATTCATGTTTTTATCTTTTTATCTTTTTTCCATCACATCACCTCTCTACTTTTCTGCACAACTTTTCGTAAAAAGACAAAAAGTACATTTTTTTAGAACACCCCAAACCAACCCTAAATATCAATTGTATATTAGATTTAACAAATTAAATTATTTAATTAATTTTTATATTATTTTAAATTAAAAATAAATTTTTTTTTAAAAACGTATTAAGCCATATCTATTTTTTCAAAATAAACATTTTCCTTTTAATATTACTGTTTTTTCACATTTGCCCTTGCTCCCTATTGGAACCCTTCTTTGTAGGTGCAATAGTGAAATGTCAGTGTTTGATGTGTCAACATCATATGGAGGTTCGAAGATGTGAATAGTCACTTTATTGAAAGCTGTGAATAGTCACTTCATTGAAACTTCATTTTTTTTTTATAGACATTGATTTAGACTCTTTAAAACACTCACCTCACAATTCCTGACGCACACCAAGGTTAAGGATTGGGTGAGAAAGAAAAAAAAAAAAAAAAAATTAACCAATCAAAATTAAAAAAAATCAAGAAGGCGACCCCAAAGGCTGTCTCAACTTTTATTGTTTTTTTATACGTCAAGGTGACCCTAAAGGAGGTCTCAATCTTTATTGTTTTTTTAGACGTCAAATAAATTTTGAGTGATGCTAGAGACCCTAAATGTTCTACCAAAAGTTTTACCAAATGTCTCACATGGTGTGGGACCCACACAATGTGTGTCCCGTGTGGATCTCACACCTATATGAGACATTTGGTAAAACTTTTGGTAGAATTTTGGGGGCCTCTAGCATTTTTGATAAATTTTTTATCATTAGTTTCACTTATATCGATTTATTTTTAAAATTTTTATATGTATTTTATTTTTATTTATTTGACATGTTTTAATTTTAGGATCTATATCATAATAAAGAATTTTTCTCTTCTCTAATTCTCTATATTAAGGGGTGGTTTTGAATGATCTAAATAAGTATATTTTTTAACATTTTATAAAATATGAATTGAGTTTGGATGGGATATAGATTGGATTTGAAATGATGTGATAGAGATGTGATGTGACTTAAATAGAATAATGACTTTTTAACTTTTTAATTTTTTTAAATTATGACAAATAAGATCTAAATTAACTGGAAAAACCCATATCCCGATTAAAACTATAGACCTTTAAAAGAAAAAATTTAATTTATTGTCGAGGGTAATGCTCAATAAGATATGCCTCATTTTATTTTTCGGTGTGATGCTTCAAAAATAATTGGGCCACTATTGAATAAAAATCACGTGCTATATTAAACGTTAGCTTTATATCCAATCAACCCCTTTCATATCATGTGTTTGGGGTTGGTTTTTTCTTAGTTTTTCGTTGAATTTTTTTTTTTTTTTTTTTTTTTCTTTTTTTGGTTTTTTTTTTTATGAAATATGATTTTAAATAATGTCATGCATTCAATTAATATAGTTTTGTGTCACGATTTAACATAAATATTATAAAAAATCATACCCAAAAAAAAAAAATTAAGAAAAAAAAAAAAGACAACTTTTTAAAGCTGGATGACACCATGAACTATCACCACTAACAAGTGAATGGCTTTGGGAAAGGTTTGATAGTTAATGATCATCTGATTGATATCCTATGCAGTTTATGGATGAAAATGATGACCTTTAATTATTGTGGAGATTTTCATTTATTAATTAATTTTTATCTTCAATTAAAAAGCAATTGAAAAATTAGTGAAATATTCCTTTCTAATTTTAAATAGTAGGAGAGGTTCAAACTCAATAATATTATTAAAAAAATTTCATATCGTCTCTAAAATTTCTCTGTGAAATTTTTCTATGAGTCGAGATTTTTCTGTGAAATTTCCCATTGAAAAGCTAAAATTTTGTGAAGATCTATGCAAATATTGAGGGATTCCAATTACTATAAAAATGTTACATATCATTTATCGTATAAAATCCTAATATCAATCTCATTTTAAAGGTTGGAACATTGTCGAAGTTACAGAGGCATTAATTTTAGATTTGAGCATCTGTTACCAAACTTATTAATAAATGTGGTAGTTTGATTCAACCCAAATAATTTTAGATTTGGGCTTGCAATGGCCACTAAGCCTAAATACTCTTTCAAGTTAAATTTTTAATTTCAGAAAAGCCATAACCTAAATAAAATGAAGATCTTTATTTCAATTATGAAATGTGGTGGTTTGATTCAACCATAAATAATTTATGTTTCTCTTCTTTCTTTTCTTTTTTTCAAAAGAATTTCGCTTGCGGATTCAATGGGGAAAAAAAAAATCATCATTATGATTCATAATTATTAACAAACTATTGTCATATCATGTAGTATAGTTTTTTTTGTATACAAATAATTATGTATATTTAACATTTTCTTTATTTATTTATTTTTTTTGTAGGAATTTTTTTTCTTCTAATTTTCATCAATTATTTTCTTTTCATTTTGTGATTTGTTTTTAATTGACACTACATCTACATTTCTAATTCTTAGTTGGGAGATTAGTGGGTCAATTGACCATCGCCAAATTAAATTATAATTATTTCTTCTTTATTAGGAGACTTTTGTTATAGTGAGTCATTTATTTTTTCACATTATGAGCTTTTTTTTGTTTTGTTTTGTTTTTTTATTATTTCATTTCTGTATCATAAAAATGAATTTCAATCAAATAAAAATAAAATACAACATATAATTAAAATAAATAAACTTTCAAAATTAGAGGATAAAATTTCAAATAGAAATATGGAGAAATAAGATTCCCATGCAAGGAGGAAGATTTAGTAGCTATTGCTGTGTGACCATTTGGGCCATTTTAAAGATACGAATCGTTTTCTTTTTAGGTTACAACGAGTAAAATATATTTGTAAAAAATTAAATTAATCGGATATTGTTAACCATTTCATCAAATTATATTTGTATTTACAAAAATGAATAAGAAATGTGATTTGAAATATAAAACTTAATACAAATACAATTCGATGAAAAGATTATCGATATCCGATTAACTAGATATTTTATAAATATGTTCTGCTTAATATACTCTAAAAAATAAATAATTAAAATTAGACTCTAAAATAGGCCCTTAATAGCTACACAATAGTAGTTGTTGTGCTCTTCGCACGACAGCCACCCCATCTTCACTCTCTTAGTGGTGTGTAAGGGTTTTGGCAAACAAACTAACCCTCTTGGTTTCTTGTTGGACTTCGAAATATGTGTTATTGAATTATGATGTTCAATTCAATATAAATTTATTATAAAAAGAAAATTATAAGAAATTTAAATATGATTACCATTACCATATTTATTGCACGGGGGTAGGTGCAAGGCAGAGTTACATGCATGCCAACATTAAAAGAGACAATTTTTTTAAGTGATCTTATGTACTTATTAATTCATGCTCTGTCAAGTATCAACATAAGTAGCAATAATTCAAGACTATATATAACAATTAAGGCATTAATTGTTTAACAACAATATTTGTCCGCTTTTCAAAGGCATAAAAAGAAAAATACTTTTTATGACCTTTCAAAGCCGGTTTAAAAAAATTGACAAAGCTAGCTTGAAAGTCTGTGTCACAGGAGACATTAATCCAAAATTTTCATATTTATGAAAATTATTAAATATTTTTAGAATACTTATGTGAGGTTATCAACACTTTAATATTATTTGTCTAAATGTTTTTAAAAATTTACTTGGAAATATTAATTTGCGGTTTAGATCTAGCTTAGATGAGTTTTGATTTGTTAAATTTAAAAATCTCAACTTCAAAATTGATGTATAGTGGGACTGAGTTATGCCTATTTTAGTGATCTAAATTGTTCATCTGATATGACATGTTGAGAAGAACATACGTACAAAATATTGGGTTGATCAAAAATAAGTAATCACATAACCAAATTACATGTATATTATAACAAGTAGACAATCTATTATTAAAAATATGAGTAACTTAAAAATACACGTCCTGAGATTTACTTAAAATACGAATTAGTTCTTTTGGTTTTAGAAATTACAACCCGTTCCTTCAAATTTCTAATCGCATAACAAATTATTCATTTTATTAATAAATCATTAAGTCAATTAACAATTTTAATGATGGAAAAAAAAATCAATTAACAGTTTTGATAATTTTATAGTTAATAATTTCATTTTTTCTATTAATGCTATTAAATAAAAAAATTCTAATAATGAGATATTTGTAATTTCAAAAACCACAAGGGACAATTCAAATTTTAAGAAAACCTCAAGAGATATATATGTAATTTACCCTAAAAACATTTATGTGGTATAGATAAAAATAATCTAATAGTATAATAACCGAAGTTGGATCAAATTTATTTTTTGCATGAATAATTTGATTATATGAGATGAACAATTTAGATTATCGATGATCTTCAACTTAGCAAATCAAAACTCATCTAGGACATAAAAACCATACATAGTAATTGAATCTCAACAACACTTTATTATTCTAGAATAATGAAGTGTTGTTTCTGGATAAATCTCTTATCTGTGTGATACTCACATGTCACACTTTTATCAATACATAATTGATAAGAGCATCACGTAGATAATATCATATTATACTTTGGAACTACTAGATAATTACTATATGCCTTGATTAATGATTAGAAGTAGAATAATTTAAGGAGAAATAGCCACACAGTGATAGTTAGGAAAAATAATTACAAAAAAACTAGTAAAGATTATAAATATTAATAATTAAAATCATAAAATTTCCACCGTTGTGTAATAATTTTCAAAATCTACCCTGAATGGTAATTTTCCCATAATTTAATTACATAATTAAATTTTTGATGGGTTTGTTTGTGTTTCAGGGTGTAATTTCAATGACGAAGCAAATGGAATACTTTAGGGAGTACAAAGCTAGGCTTCAGATTGGCATTGGAAGGAAAAGAACCCAAAATCTGATCAAGAACGCCGCGTTCTTCATCAGCGCCGGTACAAATGATTTCGTCGTCAATTATTTCGGTCCACCGGTTCGCCGCCAAAGCTACACCGTTTTGAGCTACCAGCAGTTCTTGATTCAACAGCTCTTACACTTCATTCAGGTTAGTCTGCCACTAAAGTTAGGGTCCGCATGGATAAATTTGAATTTCAAAAAATTAAGGAATTTGACATTAATTATTCAAAAACAATAATTCAAATTTAAATATAATAATTTACCTATGAATTTTAAAACAGAGTTAAATGGCTTTACCATAATAGCTGTGAAATAACTATGGAAAACTAGTTATTTGAAATAATGCTAAATACAAAATTTTTACTAAAATATATATCTTTTAGTTCAACTAATCTTGTGATATTGTATTTTTTATTCATTTAATCTCAAATTCTTGATTTGAAATCCACTCAAATTTTGTGCGGAATTAGGCCATGTTTGATAACCGAGTTAGGTCAACTGGGAGTATGCGTAGGATTAATTGGCTAATAAAGTTACTTTTGCGTTGGTAGATGTAAGATCAATTATATTTATTTATAGATTAGTATGATAATATTAGTTAATTGAAATTAAATTCATAAAATTACTTTTAAAAAAATCACATTATGTAAAAAGTGACTTTATTATTTTTATTAGTAACAAAATAATCCTTCAATCTCCAATCTCCAATCTCATAGTATAGGGTCAACAATCCCACCCTTTCTATGAGAATGCTAATTTTGTCATTTGTGTTTTCACAATCAAACATGATTTATATGGCGTGTATAAATTATCAATCTGATCCTTCTGTAATGTCCCGAAAAAATAACACAATATAGACTTATCAACTTCCAATTACATAATCTTATTTTCAAATCAGTAACTTCCATTGCTTAATATAAACGGAAAATAAAGCCTCAACATTAACATCATCATCAAATCTCTAACATTTATATTCATTAAAACTCTAGAGATTTACAAAAAATATTCCACATGTAGTTATACATTCAACATTCCTAGAATATGAATCTATAGCATGTGGCACAATGTGCCAAGTACAATTCAATGTCCTCAAGGACTACAATTTCCAAGACTTATATCCGGTTATACAAAATAATATGGTTTTCAAAACCATACAAGTAAAGCCCTTCGTTTGTCAAAATAATTACAAAAAAAAGAAAGAGCCTTGTCATCTCAAAATACATTCTACACAAAATCTCATAGGATGAGCACAAAGCCCAATAGAAAAAATCTTAACAAAGTATATCCATTTTATACAGTCTCCTAAGATGAAAGCATATGTCATGTCATGCTCAAAACATATATCTCGATATTTTGAAAACCTTGTGCTCAATGCAATTTGAAAACACAACAATTCAATAACCTCAATGTAGTTCAAGGGTTGGTAAATATGACTCAGGTAATCCCTAGGTTGGTGTCTGCAAGTATGCATATCAAGCACTACCAATCACCACTTTATCGATTGCTAATCGGAAGGCACGTAGCACCTCCTCCGTGCATATTTCCGGTCTTTCAACATGGACACTCAGGCCAACTTAACCAATACTAAACTACACCCCCTATCCGGACTTACCAATGTATTTACCCCAAAACAATAATTCTTTTCTCAAAGCAAAAATTTTTCAATGAAAGATTCAAAATCAATTGTAACAATGATCAAATGGAATAGCACTGCAAAATATAACAATGCATTAATATACCAATATATTTCCAAGTGGAGGGCAATTTTGTCATTTCAAAGCCAAAAAGCCAAACAATAATAGCAAACAATCAAAAAAGTCTCGGGCTAAAAAAGTCAAAAAAGCTAAAAAGCCAACTAAAAAAGCCAAAACTAAACGACTCCTAAGACAAACCAACAATAAGCTATTCTTCAAGCTTCCCAAATCAACAATTCTCATTTTCTTATGGAATTTCCTCATTTGATACAACTATAGAAATTTCCTCTATCATTTACTCACATAACAATGTATCAAGCATAAATTTCACAATATTTCAACTTTTTCTAAAATTCCCAAATTCTAGGGTTTCCACCAAATCTAGGTTTTTGCTTCATCTTTGAAAAGATTTTTCTAATACAACACCCCCACTTTGGAACATAGCCCATACTTTTAAAAGCTTTGAAAAAAAGTAGAGAAAATCCACTTTTAGTATCATCTAGGGTTCATCAACCCAAAATCATGATCCAAACATGTAAGAAATATTCCAAACAAGCATAAACTTGCAAAAACATATATATAACTCAAATATTATCCTTACCTCAAGCTTGGAAGAGGAAGGAGATGAAAACCCTAAAGTTCAACGTTGATGAAAACTCGATTCAATTGGTGTAAATGTAGTCATCGTCACCCTCTTTGATTTGGTGTAAAAAACTCTCTCAAATTCTTGAAGATTTGAGCTAAAATCTTGGAGAAAAGTTTGAATTTAGGTGTGTTTGTAGAGATAGGGAAGAGAAAGTATGAGTATATATATAGAGAAAGAGAGAAGTGAAAAAGTGCCTCAAAAACATTTTTGGCATCAGTTTTGAGGAAAATAGCTCGAAATTCAAGACAGACGTGCTGAAAATCCACACAAGCGGTTTAAATTCCGCACGAGTGGGTTCTAATGCTCTATAGGTGGTTTGCTCTAGGGAAGAATCTAGAAATTTTCACAAAATCTGTTCGACCAGAATACAGAATCCGCACAAGCGATTTTCTGCCCAGAAAATCCAGAAATCCCTGTGTGAATCCACTCGAGCAGTTTCAAAATCCGCATGAGTGGTTTTTCCCAAAAACTCATAAATTGATTTTGTACTCCAAAATAAGTTCCAATGCCAAAAAGTTAAAAATTTTTACCCAAGAATGTTAAGAGAGGTTAAGTAGGAGAAGAAAATAAATCTCAAAAACCCAATATGATAATCAAAGCATTGAAAGTAAAACAAACTATCTTACTATGCAATACCGATCAAGTTCAAAACTCAGGACATCACACCTTCCTTTCTAAACCAGCAATCGACACTTGACCTAATGGTTTTGTAGTTCTTTGAATGACAACATGCCACGTCAAAAAAATAGAAGAACCAAGAGTTGGGATTTGAAGTTAAAAACGATGTCATTTTAATTTTGTTCCTTTATTTCCAAATTCAATGGTTGGCCAAGTGAAAAGTTGAGTTGTGGTAAGTGACTTAAGAAACTTACCTCACAAATTCAAATTCCATAAAATGCTAAACTTTATTGGACCTAGGTTTGGTAAGAAACTATATGTACTTGGAGACTAGTCTAATGTGAAAGGTGGAATTATCTCCACCGGAAAAACGAGATAACATGTCTTTCCTTTTTGCACTGCAAAGAGAAACCAAATGCAAATGATCGCCCCTATTGATCGGCCATAAAAGTATATATAAATTGTTTTTAAAAGAGGATTCTTGGTTTACCTCTTGTCTGCCTTTGTGCTTTACCTACTTGTCCATTTATAGTTGCTTGGTTTAAATCTCGTTCATCCGATTATCTTTTGATCGGAGGATTCGACCTTTATCTGGCTTTGGCCGGGCAAGTTGCTAAGTTGTTTTCATCCTTGATCGTTAGATCTTTTTCATATGGATGGCTAGGATTATGTCAGACATTAGTGGCCAACTTGCCAAGCATTTTATTTGTAAGATCAAGTTGATCGGACCACCTTACTTTCTATTAGGCCCAGCCTATGCCTCTATTTTTATAGACTTGTGTCTCCAGCTGTTGGATTGAAGTTCAATCCAATGCTCCTTTGTTTTACAGATCTTTCTTTTAGAAGAATATATTTATGTTTGATTTCCCCTCACACACCTGCATTTATACCAATCTGTTGCTAGCTGTCTTCTATGGGCTTTAAGGAGTTATTTTGGGTTTTTCCCTCTTTTTCGGCTACCGTTAATGGATTTGGATTTAGACTCATATTTTTTTTCCTCCACATCTAGCAAACACACAAACACTTAAAAAATAAAAAAAAAATAAAAATTTTAAAAAAATATTTGAAAAAATTAAAAATTAAAAATATCAATCAATATCAAATATTGGATATCATGTTATGTCATAAGATAATAAAAGTGGGCTCATATTAAGCTAACACATTGATTACATATAAAATTATATTTAAATTTTAGTACTTAAATTTAGGAAAAGTTATTTTGTCCAAATAGTTCTTGGAGCCAGTCATTTGTCTTGTGTGGCTACTAGGCTTACCCAAATATGGGACTGGTGAGGTTATTCCATCTTGTGGACTATAGAGGTCATATATCTACAACAATTGGTTGTATAATACATGTCTGATGTACACGTTTGTGGGTGACTAATTAGAGCATGGTGGTGAGAAATTTGACTTTGATGGGTCATCAAACCTTATTTACGACATGGGTACGTCCTTCTAATTAGAGCATGGTGGTGAGAAATTTGACTTTGATAGGTCATCAAACCTTATTTATGACATGGGTCCTTCTAATTAGAACATGGTGGTGATAAATTTGACTTTGATAGGTCATCAAACCTTATTTATGACACTAATTTGTTGGTGTAGCAATTAACCTTATTTATGTCATTGGTCCTTCTAAGTTGGTATTGCAATTAAGAAGAACCAGCCCAGACATAACAGCTGCATCACTAATTTCAAAACATAAAAATGAAAAGCCAAAGATGGTACCTCGGGGTATGATGGCACTTTATCAAAAAATTATGATTTAAATTGAAAAAATTAAAAATTTGGGACTTATTTTGTTATAAGGGTCAAGCTTTAGGATTTTTTTTTTTATTTATAATTGTCCCTAATTTTTTGAGCTTTTTTTTTTTTTTGGACAATAATATTGTTAGTATGTTAATAGTTAGATTACAACGCATGTCAATGTCTCTTTATAAACTTGAACTTAAAATCACACCCTGGCATCTGAATACTCTCTCCATGACTACTTGTGCTACAACCAAGGTCTATAATTATAATTATTATTATTATTTTTATTGACAAAAAAAAATTCAGGTACAATGATATCTGTATATATATATATATATATATTTTACCTCTTTAAATATGCAAAATAACCGTATCTCTTTTTCTTTTTTTTTTTCTCGAAAGACTTTGACTTTTAAGGATATTCTAGGTATTTGCACAATAAAAAAATATGTGACAATTAATTAGCCAAACAAGTTTAAGCTAATAATAATAAAAAAGTAAAACAATAATCATAAAAATTAACTTATTAGTATTATTCAACGGTGGTTATTTATGAAGCATTTGAATTTTCCCTTTCTCGAGAGATTTTTTTGTTTTGTTCTTATCAACATAGAGTTGGAAGTTGGAACTTAGACGAGTGGCCCATCACCCATTTTATGAAAACGCATTTTTGAGGGCCTCCTGATTTCCAGAATCACAAGTCTTATAATGTTACTATCACCTCATACTAATAGAAAGTCTAAAGAGCAATTTGAAATGGAAATCAGGGAAAAAATTATGGTCATAAAACATAAATGCATGAATTACGTAAGACGATATTTTGGTTCATTCCTTTTTTTTATTATTTTTTTATTTCCTCTATACAAATTTATAATTTAAATTATATTTATTCACATTTTTCTTATTTTTGTTTTTCATTTGAAAATTCTACTCAAATTTAAGATCCAAACACATCTTATAAATTTATGATGTTGGACATGGTTAAAACCTAGACATATAGACCCCATTGCATTAACGGATTTAAATATTTTTTTAACAATTCTGTATTCATTTGTTTCTCATTTTCCTAACTCAACCAAATAAAAAGCTAAACTCTTTTTTTTTTTTTTTTTTTCTACTACATTTCTTCTAGAATTACAAACCAATCTCATAGATCATATATCCTACTAAGTACCCATCATCCATGTATCTGTCTAATAGTAGGGGACATTCACTCGTTGGTCTTTTTGGAAAAAATAGTACAAAATGACTCAAAATGACGGTGTTCATTTGTTAGGATGACAAATCATATGTCTATTAAACAAGATCCAATGGAAAAGTTTTCAAGATTGAAGGATTAAGTCTTGCTCAATAATAACTAAAATAAGAAGAAAAGAAAGGATTAGTCGTGTCATAAATAAAATTCTCAAGTCATGTTTGATTGAAGGTTTGAGAGAGAGGTTTAGTTTATTAATTTATGAGACCCACCTATAACATGTTTGTTGGTAGACAAGCGGTATAGGATTACTACTCCCATGCGACTATCAATCCCCTCCCATGAATTGATGGGAAAAAGATTATTTTGTCACTGATTCTACAAAATCGATAAAAATATCTTCTATGGGATAAAAGTTTTTTCGCAATTTATAGATTTAATCCTAATTAAGAGTGTGTTTGTTTTGAGGTATTATTCTATGGCATTGGACTTATTTAGTTCAATTTTTTTGCTCCAGATTAATAGTTCTTCCGGACTATTAATCTCTCATATAAGAGATTATTGTATCTTATGGGAGGAGTGGGATTATTTCCATGGGATTGGTATGCCATGGGACTAATGAAAATGTCCATTTTATCCTCATGCTATTACTTAATAAACAATTGAAAAATGGTAAAATAGTCTTTCCCAAACATACAAGTTTTTTTTACCTACCTTTTTAGCTAAATAGCCAAAAAGTTACTAAATTAGCCTGTTCCCAAACGAGGCCTAAGGGTGTGTTTGTTTTGAGGTATTATTCTATGGCATTGGACTTATTTAGTTCAATTTTTTTGCTCCAGATTAATAGTTCTTCCGGACTATTAGTCTCTCATATAAGAGATTATTGTATCCTATGGGAGGGGTGGAATTATTTTCATGGGATTGGTATGCCATGGGACTAATGAAAATGTCCATTTTATCCTCATGCTATTACTTAATAAACAATTGAAAAATGGTAAAATAGTCTTTTGCACATTTATAAATTATTTTTTTAGTATTGTTAATTTAAAATTATATATTAAATAAAAATTTTAATTATAAATTAAATTTAATTAAAAATAATAAATTACAAATTATGGCCTTATAAATTAAATTTTTTTAGTGTTGTGTTAATTTAAAATTATATATCAAATAAAAATATAAATTATACATTTAATTTAATTGAAAATAATAAATTAAAAATTATAGCCTTATAAATTAAATTTTTTTAGTGTTGTTAAATTATAAATTATAGATTACAAATTTAAAATTATATATTGAATAAAAATTATAAATTACAAGGGTAAAATAGACTTTTTAATATTTATCCTTATTAAGTCCGTTCAACCAAATATTGGATTCACTAAAATAGTCCAATCTAAATATATAATCCCATTACTAAACAAACATAGGATACAAATCCAGTCCAACCAAATAGTCCGGAAACAATGTATCTCAAAACTAACACTCCGATAGATTACAATTTACCTTATCCAGTCCGTCCAAAACAACTACAGCCTAATAGTGCACAAACAAACCACTGTCTTAGGCCTCGTTTGAGAACAGACTAATTTAATAACTTTTTGACTATTTGACTAAAATATAAGCTAAAAAAAATTAGTATGTTTATGATGACTTTTTAACTTTTTACGAAAAGATGTGCAAAAAGTAAAAAAAAAAGAGAATCTTTGACTTTTTAGTATGAGTTGTTGGTTTTTTGACTAATTTAATAACTTTTTAACTTTTTGACTAAAAAAAAGGGTTCCCAAACGAGACCTTAGTCAAACTATCTCGATTGAGAGCTCTAGAAAGAGAGCTCTAGAGAAGCTGTAAATGGGTGGGGCCCACCTGTGATGTGATGTGTGCGTCTATGTTTTTTTTTTTTTTTTCTTTTCCAAAGCGCACCGCCCCCCCCCCCCCAAAAAAAAAAAAACCGAAATATTTATTCCAACTTTTTCTATACTTTGCGCAACTCTGGCCCTATTTAGCATAAATTAAATAAATGTATTTATTTAGATAAGTGTATTTATTTGAGTCATATCATCTCTTTATTTTTCTGTATATCTTTTCGTAAAAAATCAAAAAATATATCTATTTATATCATTCCAAATAATCCCTTAATTTGATAATCATTCAAAAGGAAATTAATACTCTTAAGTAAATTAAAAATAATATTAATTTAAGTTACATTATCTCATACGTAAACATTTAGATGGAAATAATTCTGAAATTAAGAAATTATTTGAAACGGATCTTACAAGTTTTTAAAATACAAGGAGGAGATTGCACCTAAAGGTTGATGGGTCCATAACCACATCATGCAATAAGAAATCCTTAAAAAAAAATAATAAAATAAATATTTATATTATTAATACTTTATTTAACATAGTTTAATCTAATTAAAAAATTAAGGGACCCATCAAATAGAGTCTAAAAAATCACTTTGTTTGGTTAATAGTTTTTAAAAATATTATTTATTTATTTATTTATTATTTTTTAACGTTCTAAATATTTCAAGCAACTTCCTAATTTTTAAATTCTCTCACTCTAAATACATTTAAAACTTAAAATATTTGTAAAAATTATTTTAAAAATTCACTAAATTCAAAAAAAAAAGAAAAATGAAAATTGAGAAAAAAATTAGTGAAACATCCCTCTCTAAGTTTGGATAGTAAGAGAGGTCCAATACTTTTTTTTATTAGTTAAGGTCCCCTAATAATATTATTAAATAAATTTCAGCTCTTCATTTCTCTATGAAGAGCTAAAATTTCTTTTTGAAGAGCTAGAATTTCTCTATGTAAAAAAACAAAATTTATCTGTGAAGAGTTGAAAATTTCTTTGTAAAAATATTAAGGGACCCCAACTATTACGAAAATATTGCATGTCATTTATCTTATAAAATCCTAATATTAGAAACCTTAGACTAAAAGCT